TCTCTCTCTCTCTCTCTCTCTCTCTCTCTCTCTCTCACACACACACACACACACACACACACACACACACACACAGAGCACATCACGAGAAAACTGATGGGCAAACAGGGCGGAACACTAACGATCCAACCTTATCCTCAGAAGAGAGAGAGAGAGAGAGAGAGAGAGAGAGAGAGAGAGAGAGAGAGAGAGAGAGAGGTATACAGTCACTTTAACATGAAAGCTATCATCAAGTCATGTACACAATCTACAGCAAATCAACGGGCCACAATTTGGTGGAAAGGGCGAGTTACCAGAAGAAATTGTGACCCGATTTTCATGAAAGATGTAGTTCGACACGGTTAATCTCTGAAGTTTACACTGGCATACTCACCTCACCTCACTGACTACCATCTTCTCCCGAACGTAACCGACCCTAATCATGAATGTATACAAGCTATCGATTCTGTGTGGCACTACCATGTTCAGAGTACCTTGTTGGGGGGAAATGATGTTTAGCGGTTTGCAACAACCCACCATAAGTCTTCAAGCGCTACCATTTTCCCCCGAACACAACGCACCCTCATTTAGACTGTACCGGACAGGAAAGATTACTTGTATACGTTCATTATCAGGGTACATTATGTTCGGGGGAAGACGGAAGTATGCCAGACACTTTCAAGTTCCATGGAGGAGGCCATGTTCAAAATATGGTGAAAGAAACGGACCATTGGAGTGGCATCCTGGGGCAAATCTGACAATTTGCGACAGAGCCCCTGATAAACCAGGCGAGGCCTACGAAAACCCACCTTCCCCCCAACGTGTCCTGGTGGTTAAAGAGACTCCAACCAGCCAGCCAGTCACAATAACAAGTCGCGATTCGAAACATGATACCAAACAAAAGAAATAAACAAGGACTGCAGAACAGCAGTAGTGACACACAGATCTCTTCAAGCCAAACATACCCACCACCTGGACGGGTTTCAAGTGTTTGTGACAGATACAACAGATAACATTGAATCTGGCCTCCATCAAGCAGGAAGCATTGTTAGTGTTCACACCCTTACCGGATTCAGACAGAGAGCAACAGAGACCATTAAACCAGCACTAGCTTTGACAGCCACACCGCTTGCTATTGTCGTCACCCGAATAGAACGCCCAGCAATTATGGCCGTATCTATACTGAAAATTGCACCAAATACAGCTGTAATGACCGGGCATATTCTATTCAGGTGAAGAAGGTCGGAGGCCTGCCATTTTTCCGTGGATCCGTTCAAGTGATGATCTGACGGCCACAGGTCTATTTCTCTGTCTGCAGGGGTTGGTAGTTCAAGGACAAGTGAACATCAAACGCATACAGAACAATTGTCCTCCAACGGAGTCCAACGGAGAGGGAGAGGGAGAGGGAGAGGGAGAGAGGGAGGTGAACGAGAAGAGGATAACAAGGGTAAGGAGAGGAGGTGGAGTGGGCGTTGCATGGGGACGTATAGTGCAGATGGAAAGCAATGCAAGACAGAGATCACATGTAGCCACCAGTACTTCCTAGAATCGCGGCGGTTACCGCGACAATGATGAATCGACGCGCCACTTGGGGAGCGCCCAAATTCATCCGACTAGAAACGCTTCTACTCTATTTTTTCCCGCGGCCGATGTATGGGCCAAGTACATGTGGTTTAAGCGAGGTGGGGCAATTTATGAGCGCAGGGGTTCGTGAGCGAGGTTCAATCGGCAACAAGAAGCACAGAAGGAGGGTCAAATGGGGTGTGAAGTTAACTCACAAATTGCTGCTCGGCTTCTTGATCTTGACCGTGGTGTTGCGCTCCATGTCGATGCCAATCCACTTCATAGGAAGGCCTGCTTTTTCCCAAACTGATAACCGCAGCAGGGCCAGATTTCCCCCCGGAACTGCCAGAAATAGGTGCACTACCAGGCCCTGTAGCTCTGGTGTTGCTCTCCATGTCGAAGCATAGGAGAAGAGTCAAATAGGTGGTTGCTATCCATGTCGAAGCATAGGAGAAGGGTCAAATACGTGCAGTACGGCGCCCTGTAGCTCTAGAAGTGGTGGTGGTGGTTCGACTGCCACATTTCAGATTTCTCCTCCCCCGGGGACATCTAGAAATGGGTGTGATACCAGGGTGCATGAGGCTCAGCGGATCGGTTCCAGAAATAGCACCACATTTGGATGCCTGTCAGGTGATGGGGCTAATGAAGCTCTTGATTGCCACATTTCACATTTGCCCCTCTCAGACTGCCAGAAACCGGTACGGTCCCAGACCTCGCAAGGCTTGGCAGATCAGTTCCGGAAAAATAGTGACATATTGCACGTCATGCAGGCCTGCCAGGTGACCTTATGCTAATGAAGCTCTTGTTTGACACGTTTCAAAATTTCTTGAACCGAGGTCTGTGTTTCAACAGTTCATGGGTGTACCAAGTGAGCTGGGCCAGTTGGTACAATTCACAATTTCCCCTCTTGGAGTCCCAGAAAACTGGTACAGTACCAGGCCCCACGAGGCTCAGCAAACCAGGTCCAGAAATAGTGCCAAATCGATTGCACGTCATATGCAGGCCTGCCACGTCATCTGGCTGTGGCTAATCAAGCTTTTCTTGACTTTGCCAGAGTTGATTGCAAGCACGTCAGACAAATGTTCCAAATCACTGGTTACCTCAAGGCGATGGTTTGTGACTTGGGTGAATGAACACCAGCTACAGTTATCTCAGTCCCCTGTTTTCAAAAGGAGGTAGCTCCTAGCCTTGCCCATGCAGCACGATTTGAGCTCCTGACCTGTTTATCAGCACTTACGTGTGTTGCATAACGCCATTTTCTGAGTCCCCTGACTGAGTGGAATCCGGCAAGCCAAGCTTCGGTTATCTCTGTAGTCTTTTGAAAAGGAGGTAGCTGGTAACCTTGTCGTATCCAGCAGGATTTGAGCTCCTCACCTCTTTATCAGCACTTGCATGTGTACCATAATGCCACGAGGCAGGCATTTTCTGACTCCTCTGCTGACTGAGGAGAATCCGGAAAACCAAGGTTCGGTTATTTCAGTCCTCGCTTCCAAAGGAGGTAGCTACTAACCTTATCCTATGCAGCAGGATTTGAGCTCCTCACCTGTTTATCAGCACTGACGTATGAACCATAATGCCACCAGGCAGGCATTTTCTCAGTCAGCATCAGTCCTCTGCTGACTGAGGAGAATCAGGAAAACCAAGGTTCCAGAACCCCTCTGGTGTGGAAGGTGGTACGTAGCGGTACCTGTGCCGCGAGACCTCTTGGTAATGTGTACACCTACCCCTACTCCCAACTTCATTACCACCAGCATCTTTGCCATCCCACACAGCATCATAGAACTTTTTGCAGGATTTGCATTCCACTCCTTGTAGGAGCTCCCGCTCGCTTTTCTTCCTCACCACCTCCACAAACTTGTATGTCGGTCTCCCGCCTAACGCACCCTTGCGGCTACTGGTAGCAGAAGCCCTCCCCGGGTCACGACCACCTCCCTTCTCCGGCACACGGGCTGCATTTCCCCCTGTGACGCCCGCCTTGGCCACACTCTCTGAGGCCAATAAAGGCCGAAGCAGAAGCCTCCTTTTGTCTCCCGAGGGGCTATCGTCCTCTACCCCCCCTTCTGCTGCTGCTCCTGCCATTACCACCCCCCTGTTTCTCTTACTTCCAACAGTGGCAACAGAGGCGGCACCAGCACCAGCAGCAGCTGCTACAGGAACTGCGTCCTGAAAAGACTTCGACAAGGATCCACGTGTACAAACCCCAGTGCTACTCGATTCCCGGCCTAATCTCCCGCATCCTGACTCCAAGTTCTGGCTGTGACTCTGGTTGTGACTGGGGTCGTGACTCGGGTTGTGCACCTGGTCTTGGTTATGGCACGGATTCTGGTCCTGGTATTGACCCTGGTTCTGCTTCTGCTCCAATATGTCCTTTGCCATCATCATGAGGGGGGTGTTGAAGAAGTCATCGTGAGGGTCGTCAAGTTTATCATTGGCATTTTCAAAGAGAATGGGAACGATGGTGGGTTTACCAAAACGGGAAGAGGAAGTCGACGAGGTACCCCTGTTGCTTGTGTTTCCTTTCTCAGAGGAGGGGAATGCGCCACGTGGCATCGATGGAGAAGCGGCCCGAGATCTGGTGGTCCTCCACTTGGGCCTTGGGGATGGGACACTCTTTGCTGTCAGAGAATGCTTTTCCACACGTCGACCTTCTCGCACACCAGCGCCACTGTAACCGTACTCGTTCCAACGCAGGTGAGCACGCTTGCCCGCGTGTAAGGAGGGGGGAGGATCGATCTCCTGAAGTGGTATCGTACGAGGGTCATCATGCCGTCGAACAGGACCGTCAAAGCACTCTGCCTCAGCTTGGTTGGACAAATTAGACGGAAGATGAAGGGGAGGAGGACCTAGTCTATCTGCTCCTCCTACTCCATCTGCCCCCTTCTCTCCTCCTGACAGGTCCGTCTCATCAATTCTCTCTCCTCGGCTTCCTCCTCCTCCGCCGCCTTCTCCTCCTCCGTCAATCTTGTACCGCTCGTCGTTCACCACAGAGGAAGGATCACCCGGAGGGATGAAAGGTCTTCTTCCTCCTCTTCCTGGTCCCCCTCCTCCTCCTCCTCCTCCTCCCTCTACTCGTCCTCCTCCTCCTCCTCCTCCTCCTACCTCTACTAGTCCTGCTCCTCCTCCTCCTCCTCCTCCAACCTTGTAGCGCTCGTTGTCCACCAAAGACGAAGGATCAGCCAGATGAATGGAAGCCGAAGGATCTCGCTGGCACGTGTCCTCCGCACGTGGGATGGTGGTATTTGTAAGCCGCGGGTGAACGCCGGCCTGGCGTTCTTCGCCTTCGAACAAGTGTTGCAAACTGGGAGGCAGACACGTGGCACTGTCGTCTTCATATATTCCAGCACCATGATCGGCGACACCATCCATCGGGATCTTCGCTGAATCCGGACCGAGCGCGGGATTCCCCCCCTCTCCTCCTCCTCCTCCTACGGATTTGCTGTGCTCATCATTCGCTTGCTGGGAATCGGGACATCCGAGGATGGTGCGTGTTGGATGAGAAGGATAGGTAACATCCCAACGATCCCTGTGATTGCCCTCTCCCTCCTCTACACCCCCTCCTGCTCCTCCGTGAAATACTCCGAAGAGTTGTTGCAGGTTGGGAGGCAAGCACGTGGTGCAATCGCTGTCATTGATTCCAGCGTCGGGATCGCCAACCTCATCTACTGTACCATTGGCGCGCAGAGCTGCATCGTTCCCGCGGGCGCACCCCGTCGTCGGACCAGGTTCAGCAGGAAGTGAGCACGACGGCGGCTGTGCCGAGTTCGTCACAGGAGGGAGGAGTGTCACAACAGTAGAGGCGACCTCGATTCCACGTTGACAGCACTCAGAGGGGTCTCCTCCTCCTCCTCCTCCTCCTCCCTTCGTGTCCATACAGAAAGCATTTTTACACTCGTTAAACTGGAAGGCATCAGCGACACCATCGGCGACAAGCTGGCCGCTCGGCCTGATCGTCCTTGCTGTCGTCCTGAGACAGCCGCCACGTGGCAGGCCGCACGTGTCATCCTTCCTGTCGATGACAATGTCAAGATAGTCGTCTTCTTCTTCTCCAGAACGACGGCCATCGAGCTCATCAATCCCATCTGCTGCTACTTGAATAGGAGGTAAACGTGGAGGATAGATCGATGAAGATTCCAGAACACCTCCATAGCCATCATCAGAAGGCAACTTCGTTGCTGCTGGTTCTCTTCTTCTTCCTCCAGCAGGCGTCTTGCCTTCCACCGAGGTAGCAGCAAGTACTATGTGTGACGAGCATCTAGATCTCCTCGCATCATTTCCCGTCGTCCGTTGATCCTCCATCGCCAATCTTCTGGTGCTATCATCACCTTCTACTGCCTGATTACGTCCGTCCTCCTTCATCGCCAGTCTTCTGCTGCTTTCACCGTCTGCTGCCTGATTACCTTCTTCGTGATTTACGGAGGTTCGCTCGAGGGCAACCTGCTGCGGGTCCTTGTGTACTGGTGACAAAGGACGGTGCAGATGTCCGCCGCCTGTTCCCGCAAAATCGCACACCTCCATAGTTGTGGCATGATTAGTTATAGAGACATCAGATCTGCTCCTGCTTTTGGCAGCCGCAGCAGCAGCAATAGCAGAGGCGTCAGACCTGCCCTTGTCGACAGCCGCAATAGCAGAGGCGTCCGGTTGGCATTCCTCAGCACCGGCCAAAGTGTCACAATTGTGCTTTTTGACATCGTCAGCAGAGATGTCAATCCTCATTTTGTTAGCCGACGCACCAACTCTCGCACAGCTGCCAGCAGCAGCAGAGACGTCAGATCTGCACTCGTCAGCCGCATCAGAGATAACGGACTTGCATTTGTCAACAGCAGGCGGAGCGGAGCTGCATTTATCAGTAGCAGCAGCGGTGCTGGGCCTACACGTGGCGGCATCAGTGCCGAGCCTACACGTGGCAGCAGCCAAGCTGTCATGCCTGCTGCACTGAGCGCCAGCCGCCGCAGCAGCCGCGGCAGCGGCAGATGTGTCAGACCTGTGCTTGTCGACAGCACAAGTCTTGTCAGGCATGCAGTTGGCAGCAACAGCACGATTAGCAAGAAGACCTGCCCGGGTACTCACCTTCTCGGTGCAACATGGCAACCGGACGTCTTTTCTCACAATACCCGCAGCCGACTGATCGTCCTTCTCTTCCACCATAGCTGCTTCCACCACAACTGCTTCCACCACAGCTGCATCTACCATAGCTGCATCTACCATAGCTGCATCTACCATAGCTGCATCTACCATAGCTGCTTCCACCATAGCTGGATCCACCATAGCTTCGTCCACCATAGCTGCTGCCACCATAGCTGCTGGTGCTGCGGCGACCGTGGTGGGAGCAAGAAGAGGCGACGACCTGAGGCAGCAGGATTGTTTCTTGTAGCTTGCAGATCTGATCTCCTCGTTCAGCTTGTCGTACATCTGTTCGCTCTCTTCCTTCTCCTCCTTACGCTGAAGGTAAGCCTTCAGGAAATTGGGAACGAAGGCTAAATTAGGAAAGAATGATAGGTTTCCACCATCATGCTCTTCTTTGCCTCCATCGCCAACCGAACGGTCCTGATGAAGAAGAAGATGGCCAGCCGTCGTGCGACGATCCCGACCGTTCAGCCTTGCCTCGATCCGTGTGAGATTCAACGACGAAGACCGACCCCCGTATTCTCCGCCGCTCTGGTCACTGCCTCCTGGCTTCGCCCCATCCACTGACCGTTCACTTCTCCCGTTCTCTTCATCACTATCCTCCACAACGTCGTCGTCTTCGTCAATAACTATGGGAGGAATAACGATGCGCGCAACCTTCGTTGCTCTGCCACAATAACTCCCGTCGTTCTTGCTGTTCTCGTTGGCGTTGTTTCTATTATTGGCATTATTATTAGTATTACCATTCTCAGTTTTACTGTCACAAGAACGAGAGACTGTGTTCTTCGGAGAAGCAAGCTCGCGTTGCTCAGGCGATGGAGATTGACATTGCGCTGGCATGACGATATCGACACGTGTCTTATTCTCATTAACCAGTACATGTGGAGTGGGAAGAAGGTGGGTACCTGCGAGCTTGGTAGTCGTGGCAACTGTCCTCTCATTCAGCGGAGAGGAGAAAGAGGAGGAGGAGGAGGAGGTGGAGACGCTGGTACTAGTGGACAGACTGCTGTTATGTGTCAGACTCTGCTTCTTCTGAGCTTGCTCCGGTGGTTGAGTCCCAATTGCTGACACCGAAAGTGCTCGCCCCATCCCGACCGCTGCATCTCCCACAGGTCTTGCCGGCATTGCTGATGGATTTACCTTCTGCTGAGCATCGGGATCTGTACAACCAGGGGGACTGTGCACCAAGCACCTCCCTTCTCCTATACCCTTGCCTTCCACCTCACTCAAGGATGATGACGGATCAGTCGGACAAGGAGAGGGCCATTTGTTTCCTTCCTTCCCGCCCACTCCCGCTCTCCCTTCTCCGCCGCCATCTCCTCCTCCTTTTTGACTTGTTTCTCTCCCACTTCCATCCACCACGATCTTATCATCTCCCTCTGCTTCGATCAGAGACCCTCCTCCTACGACAATCGCCTCTCCTCTCCCACTTATGGATGAAAATGGTCGGGACTGAGGAGAAGTAGATGCACACTCTCCTCCTCTTTCTCCCAATTCCAGTCCTCCTTCGCCACCTCCCCCTCCTCCTCCTCCTCCTCCTCCTCCTCCTCCTCCTCCTCCTCCTCCTATCCTGCTCCCATCACCACCCACCTTCTCATCGCCTCGTTTCTCTCTTCCACTCAGTAACGACGACTCCGGCAAAGATGGTCGGGACAGCAGGGGAGAAGTAGATGTGCACTCTCCTCCTCCTCTTGCTCCCAATTCTCTTCTTCCTCCTCCTCCTCCTCCTCCTCCTCCTCCTCCTCCTCCTTCCATCCTGTTATCGTCACCACCCACCTTCTCATCGGTCCGTTCCTCTCTTCCACTCGGTGATGACGATGCAGGCCAAGATCGTCGGGACAGAAGAGGGGAAGCAGGTGTGCACTCTCCTCCTCTTGCTCCCAATTCTCTTCCTTCTTCCCCGCCTTCCCCTACTACCCCTCCTCCTCCTATCATGCTCCCATCACCCATCTTCTCGTCGTCCCGTCTCTCTCCACTCAGCGGCGATGACGCAAGCCGATCCCCATTCGCCTTCTTCGGTGAGACAGGGACATCATCGACCGCCGCCGCCCCCGATCTGTCGCTACCGCTCCTTCCCCTTTGCGTCGGGATCGGGATAGACGGAGACTCCCTTCCATCCCTCCCCTCCTCCAGATTAGACAGGTCGTTATTGTGCGCCGGCCGGGTTCTGGGCGACACCTTGTTCTTCGCGAAGTCTGCTGAAGCCAGGAGCGAGACGTACTGTGTTTTGTAAAACTTCATCTCTTTCACTACCTGCTTCTTCTGACCCTTCAGCTTCTCTTCGGCAACGATCAGACTATCCTCCCTTTTCCTCACTCTCTCCTCGTTTTCCCGCACTCCCTGCTCCCTCTCTCGCACCCTCTCCTCCAGCTCCCTGACCCTTGCCTCTCGTTCCCTCAGCCTCTCCTTGCTCTCTCTCAGCCTCTTCTCCTCTTCCCGCATCCTTCCCTCTCTCTGATTCACCTTCTGCTCCATCCCCCTCACCCCCTCCTCCGTCTCTCCGATCTTGTCCTGCTTCTCCCTCAGCTTCCCCTCCCTCTCGTTCGCTTTCTCCTCCCTCTCTCTTACCTTCTCCTCACCCTCCCCCAACCTCTTCTCCCGCTGACTCAGCCATTCTTCTTTCATCTTGAGCGCCGCCTCCCGCTCCTTCACTGATTCCTTCTCTCTTTTCATTCTTGAGGCTAAGGTTTTCAATCCTCTTATAATCGATGGCAGCGCGCTTTCCACGAGGAGGATGCGTTCCTTGGCGTCGAAGATGGCCGCAAAGGTGGGCATGCAGAGGTCGCCGACGAAAGCCGAGACATCAGCGATGATATCCCCACCGCCGTGATTATCTCTGCTGCCCTCTTCTTTGCCTTCCTCTTCCTCCTCCATCTTCGCCATAGCTGTGAGATTTCTGCTCTCGTCAAAGAGGCTTTCTTAATTAAGTAAGAAAAATTGACATCAAGTGAGATCTGCTCTCACCTATCTCAATTAACTGACGTAAGGCTTTCTTAATTAAGTAAGAAAATTGGCATCACGTGAGATCTGCTCTCACCTATCTCAATTAACTGACGTAAGTGAGAGAGCAACTCCCCTTGTGAATGAATCATAGCCAGAAATGCGCCCAGGTGCTTTCCCGACACGTCCCCCCGCCGACTGCAGAACATGGTCCTGATGGCGCCGCGCCGCCTTTGTCCAGTTGAAATACACCCACGGCTCCGGCCGCTCGGTGCCAGTCATCAATTCTTTTTCTTGCCTTTTTTTTTTTTTTTTTTTTTTTTTTTTGGATCTTGCCTTTTTTTTTCCTTCACGGCTTTCTTCTTTTTTTTTTTCCCCTTTCTTCTTTTTTTCTTTCACCAGTTTCTTTTTAGAGCGGGTGGAAAAAACAAATGCCTTTTGTTCTGTAGCACGAGTTTTTATGTTTTTCCGAGAATATACTAATACATTGCACCAGGACGATAGCTACGGTAGCCCAAATGAAGACACATGTAGCCAATGATTAGCGAATCATATGAGTTCAGCGCCAATGAAATACAATTATATATACAAAACCGACGGATCCGATTTTACATGTCAAAAAAAAAGAAACCGTCGAAAAACAAGCAACAAGAGGGAAGGGGGAAGGGGAAGGGAAGGGGGGAAAAGAGGGGTAAAGGGGAAAGGGGGAAGGTTGGGAAAGGGAAAGATGGGGAAGTGGCGGAAGGGGAAGGGAAGGGAGAAGGGGAAGGGAAGGAGGGAAGGGGGAAGGGGGAAGGGGGAAGAGGGAAAGAGGGAAGAGGGGAAAGATGGGGAAGGGGGAAGGGGGAAGCGGGAAGCGGGGGAAGGTGCGGAAGGGAGGGAAGGGGGGGGAAGTGGGGAAGGGGGAAGGGGAAGGTGACGCGGAGGGGGTGTTGGGGAATAGGATGATGTAGGAAAACAAGGTGAGAGGGTGGAGAAAGGAAATTATGCGCTATCCATTACGAACTTGAGAAAATGTAGATGGTTTTTTGTTGTTTCGTTGAAGATTCATGTTCATTATCAATCAAATAATTTTACCGAGGGCGGGGACCTCACAATTAACCCGTAAACAATAATCATATTGCCACGGACAGCAGGCCAAAAGGGACTGGATAAAGATTCTGCAGATAATTAATCATGTATATGACCGCGATCAGAGATTAAATACGTGATCGCAAACAGAGACAGATTTGGCATCCGGCGAGGTTTCACTACGACTGGTCCGTGCAATATACTAAGTAATAACTAATCATATTAGCGATCAATATACAGTAATAACGAATCGTATTAGCAATCAATATACTAATAAATTAATCATCTTATCAGTAATGAAATTCCGAAAAGATGGATGGACGATGCACTACTATTGCGAGCACGGACATGCCGCCACGTCGACCATCAAAGTCGCAGTCGAACATAGCACATTCGTGTACCGAATGACCGAACGTAGCGGTGAAGGCAGCCAGATACGTTCACAACAATGAACATTGTCAGGTCACAAGGTGTCCGACAAGAGATGAAAGCGTAACATAGGAGGACACTTTGCGTGATTACACACACGGGCAAACGACGGTGATGGCTTTCGATCTTCTCGTTTGTCGGATTCATCGTTTCCAGGCGAGTGAGAGTGAAGGAGAGGGTAGGACGGGCGAGGCCGCCCGCTACACTGTGTGTGTCATTCCTTCACCGAAATCAGCCACGTGGCGTGTAAGAAGCGCACACGTGACACATCATTCTACCACCGACTACGTGGTAACAATTGAGGTGAGAGAAGATGGCAGGGGGCAGGGATGGATGGCGACCGCCTGCCCTCCGACGATGCCCGCGGGCGGGAAAGTCCATCAAACTTGGCGGCGCCGAAGTCCGACACTCCGCCGCCAGTCGGACGCGGCCTTCGGCTCATGGCGGGCCCAGGTCCCAGTCCCATTTGCGCGCGTTTTCAATTTTCAGCCGTAGCCGTCGATCTCCGCAGTCTACCGCCAATGGGAACCGGCCCAGCAGGTCCTCAAACTTGAGCCTGAATTGTCTCAGACCGCCAAACGCACCGCGAAAATTTACAAAATCAAGCGCAAAACAGTTTGAATTTTGAAAAATGAATGCGAGTGAAATCGAGGGCGCGCATCTACAATGACGGCGTCCGACTGACAGACACGGACCGGTAGAATTTGAATTCGAATTAGATTTCACAGACTGAAATTGACTCCGGGCAACCCGGCACGGTTCTTTTCCATTCTCCTTTACGAGGTTCAAAGGCTAGAAACGGAGGTTCGGGGGGTAATAGATTTCACAGACTGAAATTGACTCCGGGCAACCAGGCACGGTTCTTTCCAGTCTCCGTTACGAGGTTCAACGGTTAGAAACGGAGGTTCCGGGGGGGTAAAGCACCAGTACACCACATATCGGCCCGCGGGTGTAAGCGCGAAACCCGCAACACTTCGGAGGCCGCCGATTTTTTGTTTCTAGATGAGGCAACGGAGACATTCGAGGACCGCGGGTTGGCCTCTTCCCAAAAGCGGAAGAAGTGAACGCAGGAAAGGGCAGGACCGGGCGCCGGTAGCGGTTAGCGCTAACGCGCAACTCGCCGCGGCAGTCACGGCGTTTTCGTGGACGAATCGTCATTTTCTATGTGTTTATGTCGTGCCACTTACCCATCATGGCGTTGACTATGGTGGTAGGGACATGAAGGCTCCCTCTCATACAGAGAGGAAACGACTTAAGTTGAAGTCGCGCCTTTCCCCCGCGAGTGGCTCGTGCATCCTGCCTTACCTTTCAGCTCGAGAAGGTGCGGAGTCAGAGACCGAAGAAGCTATGGGAGCCCAAAGGTGACTCATGGAACACTCCCAGATGGGAGCTCGGTAACGGAAGCAGCGGACGGCTATTGAGGTATACTCACTCAAGAAATAAGTATTCTATTTATCGAAGCCTCGGAATATATATCTATATATATGATTCCTAATCTACACTTAGTGATACTAGGTTTGCTGTTGACGTTGGCCTGCTCTATTCTTACGGAACAATCTCACGGTACAGAAATGGCCATGGAAGGGGATGGGATTGTAGGGGGTCGGAAGACTTACACGGAGGAGGAAAAGGAACAGATAAATTCCTTGATGGATGCATATTTCAGCGATGGCATAATCCCGAGTGGACTAAATATCGGAGTTTCCACTTTGACCGATGACCTGGCAAGATTTGATCTAAGTGAGGAATTCTTCGAATACAACGTGTAGTGGCTTAAAAAACATGCCGTCACGATTCTGTTCCTCAACGTCGCCACCGTCCTCTCCAACAGACTCAAGAAACAGTTGGTGAGAATTTATGAGAATGCATGGTATGATTGGGGACTGATAGAGGAAGAGGTCAAAAGGGGCCGCTATCAGAGCGAAGGGAAGAATCTCTGCTCTTTTGTCTCGTCTCAAACAAACGTGATTGAGTGGATGATTCATAAAGAAACTGACCAAATTTATGCGGAGGGGAAAGAATATAAGGTGCAGTTTATGCCGTGGATGATGTTAGCTGAGATGAAAACATACAAAGACTTGGCACAGAAGATCTTCTGGGTCAGATGTCCACGAGTTCCACTCCAGCTGATGTCGGCCTTGCTAACTGCTATTGAAAACACTTTTGGGACAATTATTAAACAGCATCCCACTTAACCTGATGATGAGGAACCAGAGTTGGGAACAGTAAGGTTCGACCTGGAACCCCAAGCAGGCTCCAGAGTAAAACCACGTTTAGTGGTAGGTATCCCAAACCAAGGGGATTATTATTTTGAGGTAATTTCAGCAAAGACTCCTTGGTGCGGTCCCTGCAAAACCTTTTACCATGCGGAGACAGACGATTGCTGCCCCGTTAAGGCAGAAGCAGAGCATGACCCTTTTAACGAGGGGGGGGGGGGGAAATCACTCCGCCAGAACCTCCTTTCTCAGTTTTTGTACCGATGGGAGAAAGTCCGTCGGTGACAGGGTTTCGCCGGTTCTTCTCACAGGGGGACAAGCGCAACAGGAACCGCAATTGGAAGCAGCAGGGGAGAAGGGGAAACGAGGAAACAACGATTTCTGCAGACAGCAGAAAGACCGATGGTAGTAGAAGACGAGGTGGAAAAGGGACGAAGGCAAAGGAAGGCCAGAAAGGGACACGGGACAGGGAGAGAAGGGAACCATCTGAAGAGGACATGGAAGAGGAACTGGAGGATGATGAAGAGGAGGAGGGGGAGTCCACCTCCAAGATGGCTAAGCGGGCAGTAGGAGTACTAGCGAGAGGAAGGAAGAACAAGAAAGGAAAATCCCCGGAGGCCCGGATGGTCGAAAGGCCTTGAAATGGGTGTCGAGGAATAACGGGGGTGGAGATGGTTCAGAAGAAGAAGAAGTAGTGAGTGAGAAGAGCTCGGGTGCTGGGAAAATGGACAGACACCCTAGATTGATAGATGCGGGCCCGATTGTAACCTTAGGGGTAGAGGATCAGAACATCTCAAAGATCCTGGTTCCCTTAATCCTTGCCAATGCCAAAGAAGGCATAATGGTAATGTCCAATCTGCTCGCGGACGGAACAATGGAGCTTCCTACGATAAAAGCGGATGGAACTCTGACCGAGTTAGAGATCATTTCCAAAGTGAAAAGACTGGTTCCAGCATGTCTGAATCTTCGAATGATCTCCTCGCTTCGCGTCGGAGTAGATACTGCCCAAGACCACACTGGACATAGGGTCCGACTGTACTATGTGTTTTTGGATGCGCGAATGACTAATCAAATCAAGCAACAGTTGGAGTCACTTGACAAAGGTTGGTTCCCACTGACGTGCCTGAAATCCCCACTGAACGAAGGACTAGATGCTATCATATTCAAAAGCTGGTTCACCGCTCGTACAATAGCCAAATGGATGTTTCACTCTGGCCAGAGGCAAGTAATGTTTGATAGATCCCTTGTGGATACATTGAGACTGTCGTGGGAAGAGATGGGGGAAAGTGAGACAGAAGGCATCAGG